CACACCACACCCTGTAATTTGATCATAATTATAATAATAATAATTACAGCGTGCGCGGGCAGGAAGTGCAGGAACAATAACCTGGGTAACGCCCTGCACGGTGGCGGGAGCAGCGTGGTGGCACATGCCCCATCCTGGTGCCAAGCTGAGCCCAGAACAGCTCACCAGCCCCTGCCCAGTGCGTGGGGGGACATGGCCCAAACAAGTGCCCCAGGTGTGGTTTTAAGCAGTCGTGTCCATGTCCCGGTGCTGTGGTTCAAGTGCCCAGGCTTTCCCACTGAACAGGACACGCTGGAAGAGCCAGAGCTGGAGCTGGGGCTGCCCCCACTCCTGGTGTGCAGAGAGCCCCCCAAAAGTCCTGGTGCCCCCTGGAAGAGATCTCCAGTGCCAGAGCCCACCAGGCCCTGCAGCATCCTGCATTGCTGACACGGCTGCTCCTGCTGCATGCGGGGAGCAGAGCTCTGCCCCCTCCTTCAGCAGTTATATAAAAGGATTAAAATTTAATATGAACTTCAAAAGGGGAAGAACTGGGTGGTCGAAGGCAGCTGGCCTGGGGCCGGGTGTGGAGCAGAGGCACCTTGGGACACGTCCCAGCTCTGCTGAGCAGCAGCACTGCGGCACATGTGGACATCATCCAGCCCCAGCCATGGGGGAGAAGTGTCCAGGCACCACGGGCAGCACGGGCACCCCATGAACCCACACTGGCTTTACTGAGCCACGGTGTCCCTGGGTCACAGTGGTGCACAGTTCCCATGGAGTCCCCATTTCCCAGGATCAGGCCTTGCCCTGTACCTTCACCTCTCTGCTGGCATCCAGGCAGCCCCTAATTATTGACCACCCACGGGCACAGCATCACCCACCCATCCTGGTGCCCCCTGCCACCCTGCCCACCCCACGCCAGCAGCCCCCAGGCATCACATCTCCCCTGCCCAGTGCATTTCCTTCCATGCAGGTGGGTTGGAGCGTGCTGGAGAGCAGCCCTGTGCTGGGGGAGCCACACCCCGAGCTGGGGGGCAGCTGATGGACCCCTGCCTACCACCATGCCCAGAACCGGCGTGGGGTTCTGCTCTCCCTCCGGTGCAGCACCGGGAGCGGGGCTGCGCTGGCAGCAGGAAGGAGCCAGGGCTGGGAAAACACCATCTTCCGCCCACACAGCCGCCCACGGCCCCGAGCCAGCTCCGCCGCCCCCGCTCGCCGGGGCTCACGGCGCGGGGGCGGCAGGTGCGGGGTGGGGTGGGGGCTGCGCCCAGCACGGCCGCCCCACCATGGGCAGGGGATGGGGCAGGGAACAGGGCAGGGGGTGAGGATCAGCAGCCCCCGGTGCAATATCCGCCCTGGGACAGGGTCCTGCCGCCGGAGCAGGGCTGGGTGGGGGGCCGGGGCTGCGGGGGCCGGGGCTGCGGGGGCCAGGGCTGCCCCATATCCAGCCCTCCCCGGGGCACAGAAACCTCTCTCGGTGAGGGGCGCAGGCTGGCAGCGAAGAAGCCTTTGGTTCGTTCATTTTTAATCCTGGCCAGGAGCAGGAGGGGTGCAGGCATGAGGCTTAGGGACATGGCAGGACAGGAGTGGCCACGGCGCCTCAAACAGCCCCCTCAGCAGCCCAGCCCATGCCTTGGGGGTCTTGGGTAATGCGTGGAGACCTCCGGGAGAGGACAGCAACCACCGAGCATCCCTCGCCGCTCTGCCTTCCCACACCCCGCTGTGGCTCAGCTCCCGTTGCTGGGCGAGTCCCTCTCGCAGTGCCAGTGCCACTCTCGCAGTGCCAGTGCCGCTCTCCCAGTGCCAGTGCCGCCCTCCCGGTGCCAGTGCCGCTCTCCCGGTGCCAGTGCCGCTCTCCCGGTGCCAGTGCCGCCCTCCCGGTGCCTGCAATGCGGGGGGCAGGATCTGTGCTGGAGCAGGAGCTGCGGGCGCGTGGGAATGCACCGGGAGCAGAGCGGGGTGGGAGGAGGGGAGCGCACGAAGCCGGAGCTCCCCCCACGCTGCTCCCGATCCCTCACCTGGCAACCGGGACCAGTCCCAGCGGGAATGTGGCACCGGGGCGGGCGGGGGCAGGCCCCTGGTGCCCACCCCGCTAGGAGGAGGTGAAGGAGGATGCTCGGGCGGCCGGCGCTGGCCCGGGCGGGGCCGGCGGGGGCAGCGGGAAGCACCGGCCGATCTTGCGCAGGGTCCGCTGCAGGTCAGCGCGGAAACGCCGGATGGAGAAGCAGTAGATGACGGGGTCCAGGCAGCTGTTGAGGCTGAGCAGGGCCACGCTCAGCGTGTGCAGCACATCCAGGGTGTCGGGGGGCCCACAGAGCGGCGCGGGGGGCCGGCTCCCCACCCAGGGGGCCAGCGTCAGGTGGTAGGGGGCCACACAGACCACAAAGACCAGCAGCATCCCCAGCACCATGGCACGGGCCTGCTGCCGGTGGGAGCCCGGCGAGGCCGCGGCGGGCACCGAGAGCTCCCGGGCGATGGAGGCGTAGGCGCCCAGCACCACCAGGAAGGCGGCGGAGAAGAAAGCCACCATGGCGTAGGCATAGCCCCGCTGCCGCCCGTGCTGCTCAAAGCAGGCCGTGGTCCCGGCGAGGCCGGGGAAGGTCTGGTGCGTGGCCAGGGTGGGCACGGCACAGCCCAGCCCCAGCAGCCAGGCCAGGGCACAGGCCAGCGCGGCACCGCGGGGCCCCGGCAGCGGCAGCAGCCGCCGCGCCGCCCGCACGGCGCAGAACCGGTTGAAGCTGATGAGAGCCATGAAGGTGATGGCGCTGTAGGTGGCCAGGTAGTAGGCGGCCCCTGCCAGGCGACAGGTGGCCTCCGAGAGTAGCCAGTCCCCCCCAGCTAGGTAGTAGTGGATCCAGAGGGGGAGGGTGAGGTTGAAGAGGATGTCAGCCAGCGTGAGGTTGATGAGGTAGATGCGGATGGCCTTCCTCACCTTGCCACTCTGCAGGAAGACCAGCAACGCCACCAGGTTGCCCGGCAGCCCCACACACAGAACCAGGCAGTAGACGACGGGCACCAGCACGAACTGCAGCGGGTTGCTGGGCGCGCACTCGCCGGGGTGCTCCACCAGCAGGGGTCCCGGCACCGAGCCGTTCATCCCGGGCTCCTGCAAACATGGGGACAGACAGTGGCACAACCCTTGGGGACAGGGGAGGGACGTTGACCTGGACAGGACAACCTATCTGGCTGGCACCTGCAGTAGCTGCTGGGCACTGGAGGCAGAGGCGGGGATGCCATGGTGTGCTGGAAGGGCTCAGCTCACACAGGAGAGGAGGAAACCCCAGCTCTGTCCCCCTACACAACAAGGGAGCCTAGAGGCCACTGTCAACTGCCCAGCTAGAGCTCGCAGGGAGTGGCAGGCACAGCTGCAGCACAGCCAAGGGACAGAGTTGCAGCCGGAGGCAGCCGAAGGTGCCACGCTGGCTCCAGTCAGCAGCTGCAGGGCTTAACACCTCCCACACAGCACGTGCCTGTGGGGCCACCCACCCCAGCCCTGTCCCAGCACCCCAAATTCCCCATGGAGCCAGGCAGGAGGAAGTCACTGACTGGCTCAGCAAGCTCCAGAATGGAGAAACCCAGGAACGGACAGGGGGTGCAAACACGGGGCCAGCATCCCCCCATGCCCCCCAGTCCTGCACAGCGGGGTTTGCCTCTGGTGCTGGCCATGGAAAAGCATGCTGTGCTGCAGTGGCTGTATCCAGGGCTGCAGTTACTTCACCTCCCATCACTGCCTGCCCACACCTCGCCAACGAAGGCACTGAGTCACCAGCTAGTGTTTTCCAGCACAGCAGGGCTGGATCCGGCACACGCAGCACCCAGCCCCAGGGTGAGGCATGGAGAGCACGAGCTGCTGAGCCTGGGGGACTTCATTTGGACCCCAAAGGAACCTCTGAATCCCTCAGTGGTCCCCTTTTCCGCCTCCTTCCCCATCGTTAGCAGAGGGAATGCTCCATCTCACCCACACCACGATTGTTACTTACCTCGTCGGGTCAGGCAGGAGCAGCTCCGTCCCCTCTGGCTGCTCCTCACTCTGATCCAGCCAGGCTGGGGACAGCTTTAAGTGCTGGGGGAGGCAGGGGCTGCCTGACCCCCACCCACCATCCCAAGCCCCCCTGTGTGTTAGTGGGACAGCAGCTGGAGTGGGGAGAGCACCTGTGTGTGTATGTAATGGGGAATTCCCTGCTGGAGCCACCCTAAAATCCCCTGCGCCGGCTGACGGGGCTGGGGGCATGGGGGAGTGGCCAGTGCTGGCCTGGCTGACCCCCCTCCCGTGCCCCCAGGCACATCCAACACCATTTCCCAGGGCCCTTCTCCCACCCACGCCTGGATGAAAGCAGCAGAGGGTCAAGTTTCTGCAGCCGGCAGCTGGGGAGAAGAGGGATGCCCCAAAGGGATCAAAGCAGGAATCTGCCTCCTCCTGCCTCTTTGTGCTTTTGTTGGCTTCAAAGCTGGTTTTAAGGGGAGCAGCCCTCCAGGCCCCTCCAAGATCTGTGAGCATGCTTTGTGTGGGGTCCTGAAATACGTGTGTGCTCCTTTGGGACACCAAAGATGTCACCCCGAGGTAGGTGACACCTACCTTCAGCTCCCACCAGGGGTACAGGGGTGTCTTACACCCCTTGCTCATGCCAGCAGCCAGACTCCCCACACAGCCATGCCAGCCCCCTTGCTGGGACACACTTCAGGTGAGCTGTGGTTTACCCTGAGCGTGCTGTGCCCATCTGGGGTGGCAGAGGGGGGCTCCCTGAGGGAGCAAGATCCACAAAAAGCACATGCCTGCCTGGGCACTCGCTCCTGGCGCTCCCTGGGTGTGCAGCAAGGGGCCTGGCACATTGTTGGGTGGCTGAGGCTGACTCTCCCCACTGTCCATCTGCCTCTGTGCCAGCTCCTGCACCAGCTCCCACTCATCCCCAGGCCTCTGTCCAGGCACTGTTCCCAGGGACTGAGTCCTCCAGCCCCAGGACATCCCCTCAGCCCCCAAGGCTCAGCGTGGGGGGGAGGCAGAAATAAACAGGGAGGCAAAACATGAAAAACAAGAGGTTTTATTCCAAAATTTGAAAGCCCCCCAAGAGAGCAGAGCCAGCCCCTGCTTAGTGTGGCCAAACTCTGGAAAGAGCCGGACACCTTGTGCGAGTTCAGCAGTGGAGCTGCCAGAGCAGTGCCACGGCAGTGTCACAGCAGTGCCATGGCCACCGTCCCACAGTGTGGGGACAGCTCAGGTCCCACAGCACGGGGACAACCAGCACCAGAGTCACTGGCAGAGGCAGGAGAGGACACACTGTGTCTCATCAGCAAGTTACCCTGCAGGACGCGACGTTGCCCCTGAAAATACCATAAAGGTGTTGCTCCCCAGCAGCCTGTCCTTCCGTCTGTCCTTCCGTCTGTCTTTCCCGCCTCTCGTCACTCGAACTTGGGCCGGGGGGCAGCTGGGTACCCACGGATGTTGAGCAGCAGGAGGAGGCCGAGGGAGAGGGTGGCCGGGGCACACATGGCCAGCGGCTCCTGCAGCGCCAGCAGCGTGTAGATGGCACCTGGGCACAGAGCAGAGCACAGGAATGGGGGGCTCTGGCCAAGGGTGTCCCAAGACCCCACCGTGGGCAGTGGGTGCCCACGGGCTCTCACCGATCATGACGACGCTGAGGATGAAGTTGCTGATCTCCTGCAGCAGCTGGGGCCCAAATGCCAGCAACAGCCCAGCTGTCACCTCCACCCAGCCCACGGCCACCAGGTACCTGCCCGGCTCCGGCACAAAGCCCAGGTCCTTCAGGGGAAACACCTTGGCAAAGCGCACGAACTCCGATGCCTGGGAAGGGTGGGAGAGGGGTCAGGCAGCCCTGAGCCTGGGGCTGTACAGCCCCTCCAGTGCGTCTGCTCTGCCCTTCCAAGGGGATCAACTCTGCATCCTAAAAAACTCCAGCTCTGCATCCTAAAAAACTCAACCACACACCCTAAGGGGATCAGCCCTGTGCTCCAAGGCACTGTGGCTGACTCACAATGAAGGGCTCAGCCTTGTACCCAAAGTGCTCCACCCTGAACCCCTGTAGTCCCAACCTGCTCATTCTCACCCAAGGCTCAGCCCTGCACCACAACAGGGTCAGCCCTGCACGTTTCCCCTGCATCTCAGCCCTGCACCCCAACCTGTTCCTTTCCTCTCCCCCGGAGCTCAGCCCTGCATCCCAACCTGTTCCTTTCCCTTGGAGCTCAGCCCTGCACCCCAACCTGTTCCTTTCCTCTTCCCCGGAGCTCAGCCCTGCACCCCAACCTGTTCCTTTCCTCTCCCCCGGAGCTCAGCCCTGCACCCCAACCTGTTCCTTTCCTCTCCCCCGGAGCTCAGCCCTGCTCCCCAACCTGTTCCTTTCCTTTCCCTTGGAGCTCAGCCCTGCACCCCATCCTGTTCCTCTCCCCCGGAGCTCAGCCCTGCCTGCCAAAGCGCTCTTTGCTCTGCCCCCAACCTGCTCATTCCCCCCGGGCTCGGCCCCGCGGCCCCCGAGCCAGCCAAGCCCGCGGCCGCGCTCACCATGTGCCGGTGCAGGTCGGCAGAGAGCCAGTCCGAGACCTTCAGGGCGCCCGTGAGGAAGAAGAAGAGCCCAAGCAGGACACGGAGGGCGGTGAAGGCCGCCGCCATGGCGGGACGGGCGGGCCCGGGGGCGGAGCGGGGCGGAGCGGCCCGGCCCCGTTCCCGGCCCCGTTCCCGGCCCAGCCCCACTCCCAGTCCGGCCCCGTTCCGTTCCCGGCCCCGCTCCCGGCCCCGTTCCCCTCCCTGCCCGCTTGAGCCCAGCCCAGCCCCGCAGGTTCAGGGACCCCCGAGCCCTTGGGTGCTGCCGGGGCAGAGGATGCTCAGATGTGCAGCATCACCCCCCAGGCTGTGACACGTCCCCGCCAGCAGCACCATCCTCCCCCCGAAACAGAGCCGGAGGAAAAAGGGGGACCCCCCGACCCCGCAACAAAGCCCACAGCTGGGGTTCGTGGCTCTGTGAGCAGGAGCGACCCAGGGCAGCACCTGCTGGCTTGGGGAGCGAGGGGCTGCGGGGACCCATGGCAGGCAGGGCACGGGCAGTGCTGGGCACAGCTCCGGAGCAGGCAGGGAGGATGTCCCCAGGGATGTCCCCTGGCCCCAGGGATGTCGCCGTGGGGGACGGAGGCGGCCGAGCTCCCCCGGGCTCTGCGGCACCGAGCTCGGGCTGGGCGAGAGCCGGGCCCAAGGGAGCCGCGGGCGCTGACGTTTGTGTAACTCAAGTGGAAATATTTTTTAATGCCAATAAATCACGAGAGGCCGAAGTGTTTTCCCGGCCCCAGGAAGCACAGAAAGCACGGCCAGCCCGGACCTGCCCCGGCCCCAGCTCGGTGCAGGGGCTGCCACAGGCACTGGCTGGACAGGGGCCAGGGGCACTGACGCTATTTTTACTCCTGGCAGCACATGATTCTTCAGCTGCTCAACATGATTTGGAGCTGGGTTGGCACACCATGCAATGACAGCAACAGGCCAGGGCAGGCTCCAGGCCTTCACGGCTTGGAAAGCTCCCTGGTTAGAAAGGAATTAAAAAATAAGCATCAAAACATGAAAGAGTGAGTGCAGCAGCTCCGTGCACATGCAGGGCTGTGGGAGCAGGGCAGCATATACTGCTTCCCGGGATACTGGTCAAGTGCATCTGCTGTCAGACTCTGATCTTCTATTGATTACAGAAGCTACTTAATGAACTATTTGGTAGAAGAAGGTGTCAGCCTCAGCAGAGGGCACCCCAGGTGATGGGAACAGCCAACACCAGCACCAGGGAAAACCCATCCTGTCCTTACAGGGCACAGGCTGCAGTTTGCTCCTACCAGCGAGCTGAGGAGATGAAATTCAGCACATGGAATGCTGGAACACTTTCTCACAGGAAGCAGCCAGTGCTGCAACAGTGGAAATGAGGACAAGGACTAAAAAATAACAGAATCTGAAGAAAAAATGCTGCACAAGCTGCAGTAGCTGTGGAGACAAAGCCACTGAACCCCAGCCCCTGCAGGGCAGCTATTGAGGAGCCACAAACCCCACCGAAGCCTTTTCAGGATCCACACAATACCACAAAGTCATCAAATCAGAGTGAAACACCTCAGATTGCCCTCAACCAGCACCTGATTGCCCGAGAGGGAACAGCAGCAGCTCCTAGTGCAGCACCAACCCTCCCTGCCATGAGCACTCCTGGGCATTCAGACCCCTCTCAAGTGTTTCATACTACTTAGCCACATGAAATTAAATTTATTTTCATGTTTCTAATCTGGCAAAGCAAGTCCCAGCCAAATGCTGATGACTCTTTGTGCCACTGCAGGAGGAAACCCTGCTACAATGAGCAGAGCCACCACTGGTGTATTTCAACATATTAAACAACTTGATATTTAAACAAAGGGTTGTATTTAATCAATGACAGCATGAACCACAGTGCAGCTGCCAAAGCATCAAGTGAAGCAACACGAACTATTGCAATTTGTGCTGCAACAGCTAACACAGCACTGCTCTGGCTTCTAGAGAACTCTAACTCTTGGCACCTCAGGTTTAATTACTACAGTCATCACCAAGAAAGCTATTAAAAACCAACAAGGCACAGGTAAACATTTGGAGTTCTACAATGCCAATTATGTAACACACAGAATGGGAGTAAGGAATGAGTGAAATTTCCAGAAATTTGTATTTCTCAGACCCAGCCATACCACTCCACACAGACAAACTGCTTATTCACTGATTACCCTCTGGAATAAAACAGAAGTAATTTACAAAAATATTTAAATATTTTATTTTTAAGAGCTGTATGTTCCTGGTTCCTCTTCATTGCACTCAAGACTTCTTTTTCTGCAAGTGCAAAGCACACAGTTAGAAAGATTGTGAAAGAAAGACAGAAAACAACAGCAGAAACTACATGACATGGAATCACTATTCAGAATCACAGGCCATGTGCCTGCCAAGTATTCACATCAGATTTTAGATTAAATGAACAGAATTGATGTATTTTTAAGACCAGAGATGGCTTTGTGTGTTTTTCCTACCCCACAGCAAGGAGCAGCAGTGACAAACCACAGAGGATTCAATAGGAATTCACCCATTGAATCCCACTGGCTTCACACCTTACAGGTCTATTGTTCCTTACCTGTTACTCCCGAGTTAAGGTACTCAGCATGTTCCTCCTCAAACAAGATTTTAAATACCTGAAGTTTCCCCTTGTACTTTAGTGACAAATTAGAGGGAAAATATCATTAATTTGAGCTCTGCACGTTGGTTTATTTCCCTGAACTGCTATTTGCTTTGCTCCTATACATGCTGATCTATACACCAGGTTATTTTTTTAATTCATTGTTAAAGTATTTCAGCAAATAGCTTTTTAACAAGGTTTAGTTGAATTAACATCTGAGAAGCAGCTGCTCTATTTTCCTTTTCCCATGCTGACAATCACCAACTGCAGCCTGAGTGCAGGAATGGTCATTTCTTGTTTGACCACCTGCTGCACATAAAGGACAGAATTTATTTGCTGCTGCAGGGCTGAAAAGCCTCAGACAATGGTTACATTTTGGCAAGATGCAGAAACTTTATACAGAACTGAGATTAATCACACGTTTCAGGCAGAATTACATTAACCCAGCACAGGGTATGGGCTACCAAGCCCTCACAGCAATGAGGACACCAACTACTTACTTGTCCACCTGCTCCCTTGGTCCCTCCACACACCACTGGGCACCGTGCTGGATGTGCTCATGTTCAACTCCTCAACTGGAAAAACATTCCCAAGTTATTACACCCCCAAGTGACTTTTGAAATCTTTTGTACAAACCCACGTCTAGGAAGGTATTTTTAGCTGATGCTGTCAAGATATCAAGCCCAGGTGGAGTCAGGGTGCTCAAGCCCACAGTGTTCTTACCCTACACATTTAATGTCTCCAGTTGTCCCAATTTGTCAGTGCTCCCCAGTTCAAAAGTACTCAGTGACTGAATACCCAGTGTCCAAAAACCTTTATTATTTCATCCATCCAAGACAAAAAAAGCAATACTTACTTCCAATGGATGAGCACTCCAGTGTCACTCAGCTTTCATCTTCACCTAAAGGATAACAACTGAAGTTATTAGAGTCATACACAGCAAATTGTGACCATTTCAAAACTAACTTAAAAATAAGGTTTTAACATACATGGACTGATTAGTTATGAGGGGGAACTTATCAATTATTCCAAACTATTACGTGGAAGAATAAGGGGCAGAAATAGGCTAGCCTAAACACTCATCAAGAGCTGAAGGAATATGCAGGCAGTTGCCTGAAGAACTGCACCCTGAGCACAAACCATAACCCCAGTGTGAGCACAGTGAGGTCTGATTGCAGCCAGAGGTATACTATCCCTTATGTGAAGGCTTTGATTTCGTCAGCTACTTCAACTCTGTGACCCTATTTGTCTGCTATAGCAATGCCCTCTCTCTTCCCCTTCCTGAGGGAGTGCAGTGGTCCTGGCCTCTTGGAGCTCTCATGTTCTACAGTCGAACAAGTGCTTCAGAAGCCAAAGGCAGACACTAGAGGTTGGCACTGTCACTGCTTTTATCCTCAGCAAGGTTCTTCCCTCCTCAAGGCCTCCCTTTACTATAGCTGAGGGCAGCCTGCAATGGTGAGAGCTGGGGATGTGGTGCAAGGCTCTGCACAGCTCCAGTTGGGAGGCAGATCCCACCATGGGCACAGCATGATCTGACCAAGCAGGGACTTCAGGCTTTAGTCTCCAACCCACCACCCACCTGGGTTTCCTCACAGCCCTCGGGAGCAGGAGTTATGCACGTTTTGTTTTCTCTGCCATAGCAACAAACACCATGCATAAGGGATACTATATCTTTGTGCATCCTTTGAACACTGCAGATTCCCTGCTAGCCACACTCCTCCCAGCCCTCCCCAGTTAGCTCTTCAGTACTGGTGTTCAGAAGCAACATTTATAGAGATGGGGTGTTCACAGACCACTGCGGGATTGCACAGCCAAGTCCTAACGTGTCAATCATTACCTAGCAGCAATGACACAGCTGGGAGAAGGCCAATCCTCCCTTTTTTCCTTTTCCAGGCAGCAGCTATTTAACAGCCCCACTAGCTTGTATGGAGAGTGAAAAAAAATCTGAAGCTAATTAGCTGATTCCAAAACTTGCTGGTAGTGGAAGAAGCCAAGTGATTCCCCAGAGCAGCATACCTGGATGCATCCTTCCCAACATGCTCAGCCTCATTGAACATAATGAACAGAACACTGGCCTTCCTGATCATGTCACTGCAGCTGGCAATGATTAACAGAGACATGCAACCCCATTACTGCTCCAGTCCTAAAACTACTCACAGGCCTCAGTGTTTAAGCTATGGGGAGAACTGCAAGCAAATCAACACTTTGTATGCTTAATGTTACAATAAAGCCCCATCCACGCTGTGCTGTGCTCTCCTGCCAGCAGCAGGCTCTGCTCGGAGGGCCTAGCAGTACGCAGATGTATTCTGACACCACACTTCTGAGTTTCAGGTAAGCTTTTGAGAAAAAGTGTATTTCACACACAGATAAAACCAAGATGAAACACAATGCAAGCACTTGAATGTCATTTCTTGTACCCACTTGTTACAGACTGACTTAGAGCAGACTAAGTTTGCTACCACACCAAGTTTCATTACTGCAGCCAGAGCTGGTTTGAGCACCATGGTTTCAGTCACAGATTGCTTGCTCCAAGAGTGTCAAAAACCTGCTTAGTTCA